TACAGCCTTAATGACCTTTCATTTATATTTTAAATCACATGACTTATTAGATGCCTAATTTTGTAATAATGAACTGAGGGATGGAGGTGTATGTGATTGACATTATTTTATAACAGTGTTTTGCTTTGTCTATAATATTACAAATTTTGATTATCCTGCAATTTTTTGAGCAGTGTACAAAAACAAATTCCAATGTGGCCAGTCATTGGAAAAAAAAATTGGCTAATGAATTTCATAGAAAAAAATACTAAATTTATGAACTTTTCAAATTTTTTCATAAAACATATAACTGATGCATGTGTAAGAAATGACTAATAAACAAAGGTGTTTTTTATATATATATATACACATGATGCTTCAGTAAATTTTATTTTAGCTAAATTTTTAGTTTTTTTATGATGGAACTAGGTATTATTTTTTTTAAAGATTAGTTATGTTTTGGCTCTAAAATTTTAACATGAATAAAATTATAAGTAATTTTAGGGATCACCAAAAATGCATACTATTTGGAGCCCTTCCTCAACACCCCAGAAGAATGAAGATCTGGCTGTTCTCTTAAAATCACTTCAAAAGCAGTCTTCAAAATATGCCAACCAGGTAATTATCACTTGCAAATTTTTTTAAGCCTATTAACCCTGTTAGAACAACATACACAGATCGTACGTAGGTTATGTAACTCTCGTGAAATGTCTTTCCAAAAATCAAACTTGTGGATGAAATTGTTTGAAATTTAAGAAGAACTTTACTGAAATTATGTAGTTTCAGAAAAATAAAATATTCAGTTTTGGTTTTTCCTGCTTTTTATACTCAAAATTCGTTATTTAATATAGTTATTTGTGCTCAGTCTGTGAATAGTTCACCTGCAAGGTGATTTTCATTTTAAGTATAAAAAAATACTATTTTTATTGTACAGTTTTAACATTTCATTTGCATAAAATCTAGGACTTCCTAAATGGATATCAAAAATTATTTTAAGGTAACTGTTTATATTTTATTTTCCATTTTCTCTACTTTATCACTAACCCTAGCTATTATTATCATTGTACAGTGTAATGAAATGCTTAAAATTAAGAAATATAAATATGTACATACTTTTTAACTCTTTGTTAAATAATCTTACAATATCTTCTTTGGTTCATATACTTAATTTCATGTCTATACATTTTAATGTATAGTTTATTTTTTTATGTTCTTTATATTTGTTTATTTATCTCGACACTCATCAACAGGTTCTGGTGGGCGATATAACATTAACATCGACAGAGATGGTTTAGCCTCATACAAAATGGAGGTTGCACTTGCTAACTTTATGAATGCCTGTTGATCGAGACAAAGCATAGAATATACTTAAAAATTGTTAAATCTTTCAAATATTAATTTTAAAACATATAAGACGTAATTAACTAATATATAAAAGTGAAACCGAAATCAATTAACTGTTTTAAACTAGTATGTATAAGGCGAGAAAAATAGCCAAGTGCTAGGGACAATGATCTTAACAATGGACTAAGCTTTCTTTTGTCTTACTTTGTAAAATACAAACATCACCTAATTTTTATGTCCTCATTATGAGATATAGCATGAAATCTGCTATTTTTATTCAATTTAAGCATTCAAATTAAAACTGTCATTTAGCAACACACCATCTACTTTGTAAGTGAGTGCCACTTATCTTGAACTGAAGAATTTTTACAATGGTTTCCTCTGGGACAAGTTCTTGAAATGAACTCCAATTACTGGTAAATAACCTGAATATAACCTGTAATTTGAATGTCTGAATAAAAATGTCTATGTTATATATATATATATATATATATACACACACACACACACACACACACACACACACACACACACACACACACACACACACACACACTACGTTAGTTCGTTACGTTACGTTACTTTTAGTTT